ACCCCCTGCTCGGGCCCTACGTGCAGGACCTGTCGCGCCTGGCCGTCGCCTCCTTCGCCGACATCGCCGACCTCATGGACAGCGGCAACAAGGCCAGGTGAGGCACGGAGGGGCAGGGGGGCACCCCCGACCCCCCAAACGCCCCCCCAGGCACCGAGGGTCCCGCCGAACCGCCCCGCAGGACGGTGGCGGCCACGAACATGAACGAGACGAGCAGCCGCTCGCACGCCGTGTTCACCATCGTCTTCAGCCAGCGCCGCCAGGACCCGCTCAGCGACCTCACCACCGAGAAGGTGAGGGCAGCCCCAGAGCCAGCCCCTAAACCCCGCCTTTGGATCACCCAGAAATCACCCCCTGCAATCCCCCGAGTCCCCCCAAAAATCCTTCAGTGGGCAATCAGCCATTCTCTCCGCTCCCTCAAATCAGAATTCCCCCAAATCCCCTCAAACCCCCATTTCCCCCCAGAATTCCCTCCTAGATCCCCCCAAACCCCCCTGCTTCCGCCCAGGTGAGCCGCATCAGCCTGGTGGACTTGGCAGGCAGCGAACGCGCCGACGCCTCGGGGGCCAAGGGCATCCGCCTCAAGGTGAGCCGTGACCCCCTGCGCCCCCCAAAAAGAGGGGGTGACCCCCAGAGCCCTTCTGAGCCTCGCTGCCCCTCCCCAGGAAGGCGCCAACATCAACAAGTCCCTGACCACTCTGGGCAAGGTCATCTCCGCCCTGGCCGAGGCAGTGAGTCTGGGGGTCACCCCCTCCCCGCGCCCACCCTCGGGGGTCCCGTCGATTTTTGGGGAGACCCCACAACCCTCCCCCTCCCCAGCAGACCAGCAAGAAGAAGAAGCCGGATTTCATCCCGTACCGGGACTCGGTGCTGACGTGGCTGCTGAAGGAGAACCTGGGTGGGTTGGAGGGGGCGCGGGGGGCGCGAGGAGGCGTTTTGGGGGGCACGGCCCCCGCTGACGGCGTCCCCGCAGGCGGGAACTCGCGCACGGCCATGATCGCGGCGCTCAGCCCGGCCGACAGCAACTACGAGGAGACGCTGAGCACGCTGCGGTGAGCGAGGGGCTCCGGGGGCTTTTGGGGAGCTGCGGGGGGGGGGGTCCCAGCCCTGATCCTGCCCCTTTTGTCCCCCCAGCTACGCCGACCGCACGAAGCAGATCCGGTGCCACGCGGTGATCAACGAGGACCCGAACGCGCGGCTGATCCGCGAGCTG